CACAAACTGCACGGTTTGAAGAGCATTTAAGTGCTTGTGCCATCACGGCAAGAAAGGTTGATTTTTAAAGTTAGAAGATTTTTATTTCCTCTCCCTTCCAAAAACAAGGTCTTCTTGCACAGGGTTAACTTCAAATAGATAGATAGATAGATAGATATTTGTACAAGGTACATGGCACAAACAGCCCTTCCCTGACCTTCTTCCCTAGCATACATGTTACAATAAGCCACCCACAAAAAACACATTTGCCATCTGTATTCAGAAGCTCACAGGATGACACAAAGCACACAAGACAAGCTCTCTATAGTGAAAATGCTCCCACCTATTTATTTAAGCACAAACAACTGTGCTAGTACTGACAGGTACCTTGCAATGAAACCACATCCACTTCTCAGTGAAGCATGTTTGACAAAGTGACCTATCTTCGTGATTATTCACACTCATTGTGCTGTTAAAAAGTAATAAAGACCTAAGGGGTATGCCTCGCCAGCCATGCACAGCAAGACGTCCCCTTTACAGCTCCCAAACCGAGCTATGTTACTACCACCACACCCACAAGCTACTCAAAGTGCGAGGGAGAGCATATATTCAGTTATGACCTCTGCCCGACGGTGCACAAGGCTTTCCTGATAACATGTCCCAGCCAACCACTACTACAGCAGGCAATTACGAGCCACTGCTCACTTATCTTTTAGTCAGCTTGGGGTATGCTCTAGCAACCAATACTGCTGTAGCACAAATGACACGTGCATGTTCCAGTCCCCCTGCAAGCCACAGCAAGCGGCAGGATGATTCTTCCAGACTCATTAAAGAATTAATCCTCAGTATAGCACAAAAAGTAGGAAACTACCAGTTTGTGATGGAGGACTGAGGTTTAATAAGCATCTACAGTCACCCACTTTTTCTTCCTGTGGCAGTTACATTCATTGTAACTGTTTTTCACCTATAAACAATTGTGAATTAAACCCTAATAGTCTGTGCTTATTTACAAAGTCTTAAATTTTCTTTCCAAATTGATAAAATGGCACACTAAAACTGCAAATAGGCTTGACAAATGAGTTGTCCTCAACAAAGAGACTACGATTAACGAAGGCTTGACGCTGCCTTGTACAAAGTCCCAGTGATTTGAATAGGTCTAAGACCATGTCCAGTTTCTATTAAATGTTTTGAAGTCATGAGGCCATACTAACGTGCAGGCTTTAAAAGGGGAACAGGGGAACCTTCCTAACAGATATGACGCCAGCTGAAGATGTCAGCTTGGAACACTAACTTCTAGCTGCAAGTAAATAAACAGAACAAAAACAGCTGTTCAGGAAAAGGGATACACATTAACTAGCTGCCAGCCTTTTTATGTTGTTCGCAAGGCTTAGGGGGAGCACTGGCAGTTACTGCTCATGTGTGCTAACACAAGGCAGGCTGATAAAATTGTCTGGTATTAAAGTTGCCTAACCCTCCCTCTTGTAAGATCCTATTTTTAATTGCTTTTTAACTGCCTGGGAAATTCTGAAGGGAGATGATCTTTGTGTCAGTTATGTGTTCCTCACATCCTTATGACAATCTAACCCAGTTATAAACCTCTCTTAACTCATAGTTTCCTTCTGCTCACTGGAGGCTAAGTTCAAGGCTGCATTGTGTGAAGGAGGCTCTGCCGCGACACCCGCCCCTGCACCCCTGCAGGACCTCTCCAGCTGCAGCTGGGCCTGTTTGGGGGTAGGCCAGCCCAGATTTCGTTTAGGGGCAGCAAGGGGTCCCTTTCCTTTGTGTTGTCCCTCCCTCCCACCGTTGCTGGATCTAGGCAAAACAGGAAAGGAGCAGCCTGCTTTGAATGCAAAGGGGACAAAAAGCTGGACTGGATGGAATAAATCAGGAGAAAATAAGCAGTGACAGCTAGGGCTGGGCCGTGGCAGACGGCGGGCGAGCGCTGGTTAGGGCAGGACCAGGTGACAGCAGGACTGAATACTCTTTAGGACTGAAGGGCTGAGAGGGAAAACTGCAGAAACCAGTAGCCAGTATATATGTACATGTCTCTCTGAACTGGAGATTAGATAAAGAGCCAGATGGGAAGACTAGGACTCACTGGGCAAGATTAGGAGCAGGAGATTGAGTGTGCGTGGAGTGGCAGGTAATGGTAAAGCAAACAGAGCAGCTCTGCAAGTGAGCACGAAACAAAGAAAGAGACAGGGATGCAGGCAGCAGGGACGGCAGGGCGCTTCCCCGGTGTTCGGCAAGGAGGCAGGACGTGCGCGTGGTCCCCAGCTGTGTGAATGATGGTCCCTCTGCCTCCAGACCCGCTGCCTGGGTCAGCGCTCAAAATGCCTAGTGTTCAGTCAGCGATAAACTTGCTGGTCTGGGGATTTTTTCCCCCCCTTTTTGCATTGGGACATTACTCACATAACTGCAGACCGTATATGTCTAGAGGTGTGAACTACAGTTGAACATGGATTTTGGTAACTTGTGTGCTTGATTTTACAAACCTAAAAACTGTTTAAGGAATGCATATTTGTGTGTGAGAACTGAACGCATTGCTGGTTTTGGATTGTGCTGAATGTTATTATTCCTGGAGTTGGTATTTGCAAAAATTAAAGGATACGGGGAAGTTGGTATACACTGAGTTTAAGAGAGGCTGACAAGAGAAAATACCCATTTCTCATGTTGTGTCACCAACACGGTACCATAAACGCATTCAAGTTTAAACAACTATTAAACATTTCCCTGCCTGTCTTACCTAGGACAACCTCACGAAGAACAGTAAAAAACTAGGTAAACACACGGTAACACTTTGAGCCAGGAGGAGCACCTCTGTCGGATAAAGCACCCCTCCAGCCCTTTTCCTCCTTAGTTTGTCTGTTTCCAGCCCTATTTTGTGTATCCTAGAACTACTCTGCTAAATTCAGACAGAAATTTTATATAAACTATGACAGCCTCCAGCTATATGACCTTGCTGACAATGCCTGTGTTGGCTTTACTGCTGGCTGATCTGATACAAATTTTATTTACAGGCACACTTAGGGTTTTTCTCAGTAAAGACTCAAGAACAGCATTAATGGAACAGAAGGAAGGTGATTTTTTAAAGCGTGTTTTTTTTTTTTTTTTGCATCTGGAAGTCTCAGGCATCGCTCACAGTAAGAGGTCGTACCGCAAGCACTCCCGCATTGCAAATCCGACCCATTACTTCACAGTGTGGATTTTATGTTTTTTTTTTTTTTTGGCAGGGGGGGGTTTTTTGGCAGGCGAGGGACGAACCTGGCTTCTGGCTCTGTAGAGGATTCTGCGGGGGACGTGGGCTACCGGGCCCCCTAATAATAATAATAATAATAATAATGATGATAATGGTAATAAAGGCGGTTCGGAAGCC